ATCAGGATGTGTAGAAAATAAATTTTATATTGTTTTATCTTATTATCAGTTTTTTTTAAGATTCAAAAGTTTTATTTTTATCCTAATTAGGACGTCTGATAAGTCATTGTTGTTCTTTTTAATATTTTTTTTCATCTATTAAAAGAATCATCTAATTATTTTTTTATTTCATATTTTTCCAGCAGCACTAAAACCTGCATTTTCAGAGGTGAGTTTATTTAATTTATTTAAACATTAAGTTAGTTTCATCCTCATATATTTCCTGTTTATTCCATACAGTGTTTATTATTTTATGTAATTTCTTCTTTGTGTCTTCAGGAGTGGGTCATAGCTCTGTTCGACTTCCCCGGTCAGACCGCAGAGGACCTCTCCTTCCACAAGGGGGCGCTGATTCAGGTGATTGAGCACGTGGATGCAGAGTGGAGGAGAGGAAGACTGGAGGGGAGAGAGGGTCTTTACCCTGCAGCCTTCACTCAACCTTGTCAGGGTACGAAACTTTAAAAAATAAAAATAAAAAACGTTTCAAGCTCCAGTCGTAGAAAGTGAGTCTGCGGATGTTTTTCTAAACGTGGCGTTTCATTTCTAGCTCAGCCAATCACAGAGAGCCATTCTGCGGTTAAAGGAGCGGCCCGAGCTCTGTTTGACTTCACAGCTGAGAACCAGGATGAGCTCACGATGAAGGTCTAACACAGAAACATGCTTTTATTTTGAAATAATTTCATGAATGAAACATGCGTGTGATGTTATGAAATGCTTTTGTTTGTAATTAAATTTAAAATCTTTGCGTCGTCCTCTGCAGGTCGGTGACATCATCACGCAGGTGGAGTCTGTGGATGAGCAGTGGATTGTGGGAGTTGTGGGCGGCAGACGTGGGATGGTGCCTAAAAACTACATTTCATTTCTCTGAATGAGAAGCTCCTCGCATTTCAACTCAAACCGATGACATCATCGGCGTCCTTCGTGTCTTTATGAACTTCTGGACACACGTCAGTCCGTTACAGTGTTTGTTTTTAAAGAAACATTTTTTATTTCCGTGTTCCTGATAGGTTTTTATTGATGATGAACTGGAGAAACAGGAAGTGTTTGACTCTTATTTCCCTCTCGCTGTCGCCTCGTATCTGAACTGGATCTTTTGTTTTTGACCGATCAGTGGACTAAAGCGCTAACGTTTAGAAATATTTGCACTTTGTTTCAAACGGATCTGCACGACAGAAAGCGTTGGATTAAGAGCCGTTTCTGCTTCACCTTTCACCTCTTTTATCTGTTTACAGGTTTTTATCAGAGCAAACACCTCAGATTTACTTTTCATTAAACTCATGAAAGCTCACCGTAAAGCATGTTCTCTTCTCTTGAAGCTTTACGAGGAAACGCTGAGTTATAAACTGAGCAGCTGCAGGAAGAGTTCATTTTTCTTGCTTGAGACGAATAATTTGGAACATTTTTCTGTTTGCTGAAGCCGTTTAAAGCTGCACCGAATGGAAGTATTTACACCAGCAGAATTAATTTTTTTACATCTTTTTCTCCATCCTAAAACACCGACCTGTCCGTCACAGAGCTTCTCATTAAATCTGCAGCTGATTAACAAAGATAACTGTAACACGTTCATTTTCAGCAAGAAAAACTTTAAATCTGCAGTAGCTTTTCATGCTTTACTGTATTTCTCTCTGCTTTAACTTGAATCTTTAAAAAGTCCTCATTTAACTCGCAGTCCTGTCAAAAACTTGTCTTTAAACGTTATTGCGCCTGATCTATAAAACATGGTTCAGCTCTCTGACATGAATGAACTTCTGCACTGTATCTGTGTTAAACAGAAAATGTTTGTGTAAAGCAAACTTTTTTCTTTTTTTATAGCTGCACTTTTAAAACAAACTTTTTTTTATAGTAAGCAGCTTCTTTCCACAAACATCCTCAAACATTCTGTCTCAAACTCCCTGAATGTTTGTTATTGTGCATGTTTGTAACACGTGATGATGTTAAACACCTGTTTTAACCTAATTAAATCACATTTTAATAAGTCTTACATTATATAGATTTATTGGTTTGAACAAATAAATAGATACGTAGGTGGACAAATAAAGGTAGATGCCAGGTGTAAGGGTTGTGGATTCATACCCAGGTACACAGGTAGGTATTCATTTCTTTTTTCTGCCATCTAGAGTTAGATTGGTGGAACTGCAGATAATCTACCAAACGGTTCTGTCAGAATCAGTTTTTAACATTTCATTCCTCAGAATAATCAGTTTAGATCAACTGGTTTTAATCGTTAAAGGGCACATTTCTGAAAAATCCACTTTTTTAGCTGTTAAATACATTTTGTTTTAGACCTGGAGTCTCTACGAGGCAGAAAAGTTGATTTTAGACTCTGCTGGTGCTGCAAAGATATCTTTATTTTCTGTTTGGGTCAGTTTTTTCAGCCCATTAAGTTTTATCTTTTTTCTATGAGGTTTTCTGAACTATTACGTTAAATAATCTGCGTATCAATTACCCCACAAGGTCTGGACTTGCCAACTACAATGTCCTCATCTTCATTTTCAATGATGTTGGCACTAAATGATGATGAATAGGAGGGGTCCAAGGAGAGAGCCATGGGGAACACCGGAGGAAGAGGGTTTCGAAGAGAATGTTTTGAGTTGAATGAAATGTTAAATGTGAAAAATAAGGATTTAAAAGCATTTATAATCTGTTAATTCATATTGTTTGTTGAAGTTTTATATAGATTATTTATGATTCTATATAAATGTTAGCTGCTTCAAATCTTGGATTATTAGTTCTACATTTAATGCAAAAGATCTTTTTGTTCCAAGTCGGCCATGTCCAAAATGAAACTTTTGAAAACCATCAGCCATCAGCATCTACAATAAGTTTTTAGTTAAATGAGTTACAACAACATCTAATTTCCCTCTGAGATCAATAAAGTATTTTTTAATTGAATTTTGAATTGAATTTTCCTCTGGTTGGGGTCAGACTCTGGCTTCAACATGTAAAGCTGGATGGACAAGTCTTCTGTTGTTAATGTCTTTCAATTATATTGTAACTAAAATGTTTCTGCGCTGCTAAAAAACAAAACCCCCTCTCTCAAACCGGAGTGGACCGGTTTGGAAGCAGGAGGGGGCGGGGCTTGAAGTGTAATAAAGGGAACAGTAACAAAACCAGCCATTTAGAGACACACAACAGAAAAGTAGTGAAAGAGAAGATGGTGAAGTTAAAACATGGAGGAATACAGACCAAAGCTTTGTAGTTCCACTTTATAAAGACCCCAACAGAAGGATTTAAATAATAATAATAATAATGCATTGTATTTATAGGCACCATTCAAAGCTCCCAAGGTCCCCTTACAAAAATAATAAAATCACAATAGAACAATTAACTCAATAAAAAACAAATCGATTAACAAAATAAAATACTGGAGGCTAAATAATAAAAACAGTCTTATTAAATACTGATAGTATAATGATAATAATGATAGTTATAAAGATTAGGGTTCAAGTGTATAAGCTTTCCTAAACAGATAGGTTTTGAGTTGGGATTTGAAGGTGGTACTGTGACCAGAGCATGAACCAGAATGGCTGTATTGTTGGATGAAAAGGGATGGACGCAGGCGAGAGATGTTATGTAGGTGGAAATAAAATGACATGAGAGTGGAAAGATAAGGTACTGTCAAGGATGACACCCAGACTCTAAACCTGGGGAGATGGAGAAACTAGTGGGTTATCAATGTAAATGGAGAGATTGTTAGTCTTGGTGAGGGTGGATTTGGTGCCAACAAGTAAGATTCCTGTTTTGTCGCTGTTAAGTTTAAGAAAGTTATTTGAAAACCAAGACCTGATTTCCTTAAGGCAGTTAGAGAGGCAAGTAGGTGGAAGGGATGTGTTTGGTTTAGCGGAAAGGTAGAGCTGGGTGTCATCTGTATAGCAATGAAACTGTACGTTGGGAGGATGTAGATGATGAATAGGAGGGGTCCAAGGAGAGAGCCTTGGGGAACACCGGAGGAAAGGGAAGAGGGTTCCGAAGAGAATGTTTTGAGTTGAATGAAATGTTAAATGTGAAAAATAAGGATTTAAAAGCATTTATAATATGTTAATTCATATTGTTTGTTGAAGTTTTATATAGATTATTTATGACTATATAAACTTTAGCTGCTTCAAATCTTGGATTATTAGTTCTACATTTAATGCAAAAGATCTTTTTGTTCCAAGTTGGCCATGTCCAAAATGAAACTTTGGAAAACCTTCAGAAAGATTATAAAACCTTGATCTGTTTTTATAAATGTAATGAAAAGTGCCATGTAATCAGATAGTTGAATATCATTGCTTCTAAAATGCACGGACTTCTTTAGATAATGACACAAATAGTAGTAAAGGAAAAAACTTGCCTTCAGTCATATTTTTATTTAGCTTCACAGTGAGTTTGGAGGTGATTTTCACGAAATGAGACCAGACTTGTATCCATTAGATTTTCTTGCTTCTATTTGCACCTCTTAAGAACAGACAGACATGAAAACAACTTCCTGATTCCATTCAGACCCGTTGAAGGGACGGAACCAGGAAATAAACCGTGTGAAGAGACGGAGAAGGTTTTTATTATTTGTCCTCTTTACCAAAAAGAACAGTTGAAATTAAGTAGAATAATCTGCAGATTAAAGCACTTTAGGAAAACAAAAGTTGTATCACATCTTCTGCTCATGTTTATTGAACTTTCCTGAGCTCAGCAGATTCTCCTTCATCAAAAAGTCGAACTCCAGCGTGGAGCGGCTGAGTGAAGGTGGTCTGGACTCTGTGGAGGAGGGTCATGGTGTCAGAGACCCTGTAGAAGGACAGAACCCCTGCTGTGTGGTCCAGGTACACTCCGATCCTGGAGGAAGCAGGACCTGAGGCTGGAGTCTTCACCTTGTTGAAGCAAAAACTGTAGCTATTCTCATTGCAACACAACACCCAGGATTTGTCGTTGTATCCAAACGCACACTCATCTGCTGTCCCGTCTCTGCTGATGTCTTTATACGAAGCTGCGACATGAATGGCGTCTCCGCTCCACTCCACCTCCCAGTAACAACGACCAGTCAGACTCTCTCTGCTCAGAACCTGGTCGTAAAACGTAAATCTTTCAGGATGATCGAGATAAAACTGTTGTTTTTTCATCAGAGTCACTTTTCTGTTCCCCTCAGATAATAACAGATGTGTGAAGGCTGTGTTTGAGTCTAGCGTTAGATCTTTGGAGTATTTTAGGAACTCATTTCTGGTTTTTGGTTCTGACACTAAATCTTGAGTTCCTCTCAGTGAGATGTTTGTCCAGGTGTCCCTCAGGACGTCCTGTATCTTGWSTCTGAGCTGGTCCACAGCTGCCGTCACGTCCTCAAAGTATCTGAGAGGACGAGTCTTGATGCTGGATGAGTGTGGAGACTCACTGAGTGCTGACACTGAGGGGTAGTTGTGGAGAAACTGGTTGTGATCCTCTGTGTGTGAGAGCTGCTCCAGCTGGCCGTCTTTCCTCTTCAGCTCAGTCATCTCCTGCTCCAGCTTCTCCTGAAGCTCTTTGACTCGACTCACTTCAGTTTCCTGCTGGGATCTGAGCTGCTGCTTCACATCAGAGCTTCTTTTCTGGATGAGACGGATCAGCTGAGTGAAGATCTTCTCACTGTCCTCCTCTGTTTTATCAGCAGAGACATTGATGGCCTCCACCTCCTGTTGGAGCAGCTTCACATCTTTCTCTCGCTCCTGGATTCTCTGCTGGATTTGTTGTCGGATCTCCTCCAGCTCCTTCTGCTTCTCAGCTCTTTCTGCCGCAACTGAAGCTGCTTCGATTTCATCCACTAAGATCTTCATCACCTCATCGTGTCGAGAGCAGATTTGATCCCGGAGCTTCTTGGAGGGCTCCGCCAGCTTGTGTTTCTTAAACTGACCCACACTGTAGTGAGGTCGGAGGTGTTTTTCACAATAAGAGACCAAACAGTTCAGGCAGGACTTGACAGCTTTCAGTTTCCTGTCAGAGCAGACGTCACAGGACACATCTTCAGCTCCAGCATAGCACAGATCATCATGTAGATCAGTCTTCTTCAGCTCCTCCACCAACTCAGCCAACATGATGTTTTTCTCCAGAGCTGGTCTTGGTTTAAAGTTCTTCCTGCACTGAGGACAGCTGCAGATTCTCCTTTGGTTTTCTCCATCCCAGAACTCTTTAATACATCTCATGCAGTAGCTGTGTCCACAGGGAATAGTCACCGGATCCTTCAGGAGATCCAAACAAATCGAACAGGAGAATTTAACAGAATCCACCAGGTTCCTCTGCTGCGCCATTTCCCCTCTCACTGAGCGTCTCCACAGTTTCTTTTCTTTTAAAGCAAATAAATGTGTTTCATAAGAAGCCAAACCCAAGTTTATTGTCTTTTTTTCCTTCCTGCCCTGCAGCAGCTGGGTGTGTCAGCTATCACACAGAGATTACACCTCACCTGTTCAGGTCTGTGAACCAGGAAATATGTTGTCAGAACTGAAGTGTGTTGAAGAGAAGGGAGGAGTCATCTCTGAGTTTTACTTTCCTGGAAACTGAGCTAACTCACCTGTAATAACACATTCAACCCATAGGGCACCTTTAAAATCATTAAACACTTTTCACCTTGAGGCCCAAAACCGTCCCTCTCAGAAAATTCTAATGTTTTTTTTTTTTACTTTCACTGCATTAAATCTTTTCATCAACTTCACACCTAACCATAAATATAAACTTTTGTAGTATTTTTTACATTTTAAAAACTTTTTTCATTAAAAAAACTTGATTTTTAATAAAAGAAAAATAGAAAATATGCAATATTTTCAAAAATAAGGTTCAAAATTGAATATTTGGTGTAAGGTTATTACAGCCTTGACTAAAAACATTGATTTTGATGCATTATTATTATCATTATTACAGTAATGAGTGTTTAGAATAAAATGTACACTCTTTGCCTTAAGGCCCAGAACGGTCCCTCCTAAAACGTGTAATAAAAACATGCTGTGAATCACTTGATTTTTTTTCTAATTTTTGTTTTTCCTTTATGCACATGGTATCATTACTAAATCAGTTCATTCTGCACAGATCATGGTGAGGTGCATTTTACATGAATGTTTTCCACATTGTGTGCACTGTGGAGACGAGACACGCTGCCTCCAAGTAATTCCTCCACTGCTGTCTCCTGGCCCTCTGAGGAGTCTTTAGTAACATCTACCTCATATTGCTCTTTCTTCTCAGAGCAAACCAAAATAACAGCTAGCGCTTCCTGCTGGAGAAATGACAAGACTACAAGCTAATCTTGCAGACTTCAAAACAGGCACCTGTGTAAACATGTTACAAGTTCATGTTCAGTTTATTTATATAGCCCCAAGTCACAACATGCATTGTCTCAGGGCACTGTACATGAAAAGAACAATCTAAAGAAGAAATGAGCAGATTGTGTTGAATCACTTCATCACAGTCTCCCATCCTGAGCAAATGGTGGAGAGGAAAAACTCCCTGCTAATCAGGAAGAAACCTCCAGCAGAACCAGGCTCAGGACAGGAGACCATCTGCCTCGACCGGCTGGTTGGAGGACAGGAAAGAGACACAGACAAACACAGAAGAACTGGTCCAGGACTGGTCCAGGTGCACCTTCTTCTGGAAGAGACAAAGGTTAGGTTGTTTCTCAGTTGCTGGATTAAATCCCTGCCTGGGACCTTTCCAGGTGGTGTTTACATGTTCTCCCTCTGCATGAATGTGTTTGTTCCCAGTTTTCCGGTTTCCTCTCAGACCAAAACCCTGCACCTTAGCTTCACAGGTACACACTGTACATCTCAAATAAATGCTTTGTAAATGTAATTATTTTATACAAAATCATGTTCAAATCTGAATATTTTCAACGGCCTTCATATATACTGGATAGATAGATAGATAGATAGATAGATAGATAGATAGATAGATAGATAGATAGATAGATAGATAGATAGATAGATAGATAGATAGATAGATAGATAGATAGATAGATAGATAGATAGATAGATAGATAGATAAGTGACCTACATTTAAACAAAATGAGTGACAGCTTTCACCTTCACCCATTTAGTCCACAGCTCTCAAGGCTATGTAGGAGCCAAATTCTGTAATCAGTTGTTTTGGGAACAGAAGAAACAGTTTTTGGCCAGGCAGACAATAACAATTTTCCATCTGCCTTAATGTCCGCTGGTACCTCCCAATGTTGCGAATCTAGTCAGACAAATAGTGTGGACAAATTCCACCGAACCGTGCTATCAGCTTTCTCCAAGATCAATTCCATCTGGCCAGCAAAGTCCAGGAACCTCAGCAGAACAGTTTGCAGACCGAGTCCAGCTCGCACAGGGAAAAAGTCTGAGTGCTGAAAGAACGGCAATCCTTCATATTGGTCAGACAGCCAGGAGATGAAAAGCCACCAACGCTGTTTTGTAGAACACCAGGAGACCACCAAGCCAATCTGTAGAATCCAGTGATCGGAATCCAAATATACATATCCAGAACAGAGAAGAACCGAGGTCCCACCTTTGACATGTCCTCCCATGGAAGAAAAAAACACTTTATTCCTAAAATGTTATTGAGAGACCAGCTAAACAAATCCATAAAAAAATATAATTTCTGGTTTCGGATGAAAATATAGAGAGGGCTCAGAGCAGCAAAGCAGGGAAGATAAGGGAGGGCAGGAGAGAGGAAAAAAGCGTCTTGCTCCTCCGAGAGCAGGAACAAAAAAAAAAAACATGCTGATTTGTTGTAACAGGCTGAGCTTTATCCAGCTAAAATCCTTCCATTCTCAGTCATCCCCCGTCTCCATAGGCGTGCCCCAAGGCTCTGTCCTTGGACCCCTTCTATTCATCACTTACCTCCTTCCTCTAGGTTACATTTTCCGCAAGTTTGGTGTCCATTTCCACTGTTATGCTGATGACATTATGCTCTACCTGTCAACCAAACCACCCTCCCTCCATCATCTCTGACTGCCTCAATAAACTCAGTCACCGGTTTTCAGACAATTTCCTTCAACTGAACAGTGATAAAACAGAAATAATCCCTTTCAGCACTAAAAATTCCAATTCTGAATCAAAACATCTTCTCATCTCTCTCAACGACACTCTGCTAGCCCCCTCCCCTCAGGTCAAGAGTACTGGTGTCATCCTCAACACCACTTTCTCCTTCACTGCTCACATCAATAATGTTACTCGGTCTGCCTACTTCCACCTCATAAATATAAACCGTCTCCGTCCATCTCTCACAGTCCGCACCAGAGCCATCCTTGTCCAGTCTTGTGACTTCGCGGATCGACTATAACTCTCTTCTTTTTGGCCTCCCCAACAAATCCCTCCATAAGCTACAGATGGTGCAGAACTCAGCTGTACGAGTCATCACTCACTTATTCTTCTATGATGTGTCTAACGCTGGAAGTGTCCTGGGGTGTCCTGAAAGGCGCTTTTTAAATAAAATTATTATTATTATTATTTATGGGAGAAGTTTTCTGATCGAAGCAGCTCAGCCCCGTTAGAGCCGCTGCACTGCGCATCTCTGCTGGATGCCAGAGACAAACGGAGATTTCATTTACGCAGCACTAATAGGGACAAGGCATTTCTTATTTTGTGAATGTTTAGTTTTTAATAAGTGCAACTGTTTGTTTTAGCAGCCCGGGGTTATTGGGACTAGTTTTTCTGATCTCCGCTCTTCATCGTCAGCTCTGGTGGCCGCTCTGCAGCGCAAATCAGCTGTGCGGTATGATCGACCTGACCGGTGCTGAGGAGAGGTAGAGAAGTCATTTGATATGGCATTGTTTGGAGCACAATGGATCCAGAAAAACACCAGCACCCCAGAACCTGTCGCTTATTGATGTTGCACTCGCCCTGTGCAGATGCACCATGCGCCGGAGACCGGTGGTTCACTCCAGGTTCACTTCAGCCCATGGGCCGGTTCACGAACTGAACCACCGACCGTCTGACCTGCATCTGGGCCGATGGTTCAGCTCATGGGCCGGGGATTTCCCCGGTAGCCCCGTATGCCAGTCCGCCCCTGCTTCGTGGTCACATAAACTTGTAAATAACTCATGAAAGAATGAAGTTACGTTAAAACCAAGCATTCCATTGTTTTTCTTGTGAAATTCCCAATGAGTTTGATGGGTCACATGACCCTCTTCCCATTGAAAAAACTAAAGTTGGATTCAAAATGGACACCATGGTCACCTTGAAGTTATCCCCCTCCCAAACAATAATGTGCCACAAAGAGGAAGTGAACATCACCAACAATACCCATTTTATTTAGGTGTATCCATATAAATGGCTTACCCTGTCTGGTTGTTTTATAAAAAAAAGTTTTATTTTCAATTGATCCGCCTCTTTTTTGAGAATGTAATAGTTTTAAAGTGCATATGCCATGCATATTCTTCAAATTCAAAGTGAAAGAAAACCTCTTCATATTTAAGAACCTTGGCATAATACACACAATTTTACCCATTTTGTCACATAACTGTCATGTTTTCTTTTGATTTTGACTCAGCAAAAGTGAAACAGGAAGTGACATCAAAGGGGAACTCTGGTTTTTATTTATTGAAACAATATAATTTGAACTCTGACTCTTCATCTCTCTGTGATAGTGACCCAAAATAATTTAAAGAAACATCCAATTCTTCTCTAGTCTGTTGTTAGCTATTTAATAACACTCTGTTTACATGCAGACATTCCCCTTTGACATCACTTCCTGTTACTTCACATGCAAATACACTCCTGATCAAAATCTTAAGACCAGTCAAAAAAGTGCAAGAATTTGCATTTTGCACTATTGGATCTTAAGAAGGTTCTAAGTAGAGCTTCACAATGTTAAAAGAAGAAATCAGTGCAAGAGACAAGAACCTTTGAGCAGGGAATTTTCTGAAAACTGCATTTACACTAAAACATGATTTTTTTTTTCAGCTGATCAAAAGTTTGAGACCACAGTCTTTAAAAGCCAAAAGCTGTGCAAAAATCTGGATTCC